TCCATGCCTTTGTGGAGGAAGGACTGAATGAGGTAGTGAGCTCTGTTTTTATCATATATGTAAGAGAAAGTTCTTCAGGTTATAGAAGTCAGGGAAGAAAAGCTCTGCCCTGGAGGATGGTTGTTTCTTACAGATGTTTTGTACTTCCCTGTTGAGTTTGAATAATTCAGGTAAATGTACTTCAGTAAAACTGGGCAGATCAGCAATGCATAATCCTATTAGTTTGACAGAATAATCTGTGTGATAGATTCTCATACTGTTAGGCCATCTGGGGTGACTCCATCATATCCTTGTATGCTAGGACTGCAAGTGCTTGGTTTTGTTCCCAGTAATTCTCTTTCTGTATGATGTGATGGGCAAGTTTGGCACTGGAATATCAGAGACAGTGATTTCAGGTAAAGATAATCAGTGGAGAGACCAGTGGAAACATTGTATTATCAAAAAAAACATGGCAGTGTTGTATCACTTGACACAGAGTGTGCTCATAATACATTTCCACTGGGAGTTGATTGATTAAAGAGAGGCCAAACTGCAATTGTGAACTTTGCATTACTGGCAGAAACTGGTGCTTGAACAGTGTTTTTCTCCCTTCAGAAGGCAAGGTCATGACTTAATCGGAAGCCATGCAGTAACTGTGTCATGTGTGTCATACTGTTTTTATGAAATTAATCAAGTTTCTGCAACTTCTCAGATTACACAGTAAATAACTGGGAAGAACTACCCTTGTATCCTTTCCATTCCAGTGTCTCCATTGAATCTGACACTTCAGCAAACTCAGTGATTAATAACAGAACGTAACTAGCTTGGTATAGAGGTGAACTATGGAATCTGATAACATAAGCTGTGCTTTTTACTTCAGAGCTGATAGAACATGCTGCTCTTCACATTTACAGGCTCCTGGTAATGGAGATTAATGATAATCTAATTAACCCCACTTCAACAGGGAGCACTTGCAATGCTGGGAGTCACGATGAGTTGGTGCATTCTGTGCTTATTTTGTGGTGGTAGTCTGCTGCTTTTAAGACGATTTATAAGATAATAGCTTAAGAAAACATGTTTTGCATTAGTAAAGTACTGGTTAGGTCATGTGCAGAAGTATAACTTTACTATGAAACTTTATTTTTTTTTTAAAATTTTCATATGCACGTGGAAATGCCTGTGAACCAGTTATTTGAGTCTGTATATGTATGTGTAAGTTACCTGGCTTGGAGTGAATTATGCTGTTTTTACGCATAGACAGACTGTAATTTGTGTACTCTAGAGGGTGCTACTGTTCTAATTGGTGAATAAACTCTTGCCCACTTGTAAACTGGCACTATAATTATTTTTGAGCGTACAAAGCTCTTACTGAAGTGAGCAGAAATTGTAGCCTACTGTTCCAGCATGACTAGAAACCAGTGCTTAGGCTAATCTAAATCTTGTACATGCTGTACAGAAATCATACCACCAATGCTTCAGTAAATTGGCAAGAAGGGCAGATTGCAGTATTTAAGTGTGTGAGGTGCTGTGCAAATAGAGACTTACATGAGCAGGGGTTTGTGGGACTAGAACCCATATTTTTACAGGATGTGTGCTCTTTAATAAAGGCTCTTGCTGATAAATTCTGCACTGTGGTGTTTAAGAATGCAAATTGAATAAGCATAAGTCTGTTGCATGGTAGGAAATAATTTTCCTGTTGATTTTGTTGCCAACTGACTGTAGTACCAGTGTTAATGCTTTGTTCACTTATCATTGGTTTCATGGGATAGTAAGGTATTGTGGAGATGTATATAGCTGCTCAGTGACTTGAGGGAAACGTTTCAGTTTTTATTTAAAATATATTTTAAACATTTTCGTTACTTGCTGCTTCATTGTCCTTGCCAAAACTAAATAGCATGAGGTCATATTTGGCTGTATCTATGACAACTCTATTTCATAGTTGTTTAACTTCAAATGTGAAAGATTTTTGTCCAGAAAATTAATTGTGAAGCAAGAAATTCAAAATATGTGAAATACTTTTTGCATGGATTCTAATTACAAGAAGTTCATGCTAATGACTGAAATAAGGAGCAGCGAGTGCCAATAAGGCACTCAGGTGCTTTGACTAGAAGTCCCAGTGTTGAAAGCATTACTTCCTTTCTGCTGAGGTGCTATGAGAGTCGATGCATAAATATTCATGCTTAGGGCTGAGATGAATAAGGTGTAACTGGACTTTCAGACTACATTTCAATACAGTTCTGTAAGTTAATAACACTGTATTATTCTATTCCCTCTTTTCCCTTAGGAAAATAAGGTAATTATTTAAGTACTGTCTTTATGATAGGATTGCAAATAGGAAAATAATCAAATAAGGCATCACTGTATTTCCTGAGCATGGTAAAAAAATCACAAAAGTTCTATTTCACAGCATACTCCTAGTATGAGTACCTCAGAGTTTGTTCTGGAATTACAGAATGAATAAAGCTGAAAAAGACCTTTAAGATCATCAAGCTATCATCACCATGCCCACTAAACCATGCCCTCAGTGCCACACCTCCACATGTCTTCAACTCCAGGGACGGTGACTCCACTGCTTCCCTTGGCAGCTCATTCCAATGAGCTCATTCCAACTTCTTCACAACCCGCTGTGAAGAAGTTTTTCCTGGTATTCAACTGAACCTCCCCTGGTGTGACTTAATGCCATTACCTCTCTTCCTACCACTGTTATATGGGAGAAGAGACAGACTCACACCTCACCACCAACTCCTTTCAGGTAACTGTAGAGCATTATAAGGTCTCCCCTGAACCTCCTCCTCTTCAGAATGAACAATCCCAGTTCCTCAGACACTTCCCATAAGACTTGTGCTCCATTTTGCCAGCTTTGTTGCTTTGTTTCCTGGGACGTGCTCCAGCCCCTCAGTATCTTTCTCTTTTTGTTGTAAGCTCTTTTTTAATGAGATCCAGATGAAGTCTTGCTGTTTGTGGATCAGCACTTGGAGAATATTATTACAGATTTTTATATAGTTAATTTTGGCCGATGCTAATTTGAAATTAAATTTCTTTGAATGTTAGTGTCATGCTTGTTTTCAAGCCCGAGATGATATAACTTCAGTATTTACTATGCTGTTTATTCTCAAAACTGAAGTCATTTGTTGAAATATGAATTGTGCCAGAGCATATTTGTTTAAAGGTTGCATCATCTCTAAATGATGCTGAAGTAGAAGAAGTAAATTTAAAGGGGTAGCATTTCACCTTAACTAATGTTTGAAGCACATTCTAATAAATGCAATGAATCTAATGCTAAAGAACAGAGGAGCCTCTCTTTGGATCTTAGTGCCTTCTTAGTTCTATTTCCTGTCATGAAGAAGTAATCAGCTGCTGACATTTGTTAAGGTCTGAGCTCTGGTTGACTTATTGTCTCTATGTATGGTCAAATTACCATTCATCACTGAAGAAAGTGTATTACTTTAAGATTGTTTTTCATTGTTAAAGGGGCAGCTACACTACAAATTCACTGAGTTATGTGGCCAACATAATTCATCTTTAATTTGTTCTATATGATGTCCAATAATGTATTTATTGTATGCATTGCTGCACTGTAAAACATTTTTAGTCAAATTCAACAATAGTATTGCTCTTAAACTAATAATCAGGACTGGAGTTTTAAATATTCTTTACAAAGCAGTGAATCTTTTTTTTAAAGAGACCTTTAAGCAGTCTGTCCTTACGAATTGGTCACTTTTCTCCTGAAACAGGTTTGGTGTTAACTTTGAACGTGGTACCTTCCTTTCTGCCCTGTAGCTTTTTTAGTCTTGAGTAATGTGGATTTTCTTCTTTTTCTGTGCCTAGTAGATTAATGTGGTTGAACTGATACTCCACAACAAATAGCATTACAAAACTTAATTTTGTCTATGCATCTTCAGTTTTCAAGTAATTTTTTTAAATCCCTATATGAAATTTCAGAACAAATTTGGAAATAAAAATAAGTTATAAGTAATAATTCTGTAAGCTTGTGATGTAAGTATATTGTGATGTACTTGTAAGTATATTTATCTTCTTTATTGGCAAAATTATTTCGTAACATTATGCTCAATGTGCAACTCATGCAGTAAAAGAATGGATTTCAAACTTGGTATCTTATCTGCATTTAATAAAGAAGCCAGTATGAATCAGTAATACAAATGCTTTCTTCATTATTTTCTTACTAATTGCATATTCGTATAGAACTCATTGCTGAACAGTGGTTTAATATCACATTCCAGCATAAACAATTTACTTATTACCATCAGTTATTTAAAAAAAAAAAAAAAAAAAAAAAAGTGAAGAGATCTTTAAGAAATGTATTGCCAAAGGCAGTGTTTGCCATTGATCATTAAGATACTTGGTTCTTCCTGTGGTGGGCCTCACTGGGAAAAGAATTTTCCAGAAGCTGTAATGAGTTTTGTTACATTGTTCTTCCACTGATAAGATAAATTGAGTTTAACAGATAACATTTTTAGCATTTTGTCCAGTGTTGAAAATGAATAACATTCTGTTGAAACTTGCAGTGTTCTATGTTTTATTTTTGTTTTAAGTGTGGCAGATTTTTACTTGCTATTAGTAAAGCTGGGAAAGGTACCTTAAGCTTTGGCCTGAATGAAGAAGATAAAGGGATACAGTCTTTTTTTCCCAACAAGTTGTTTTGTTTGTTAGTTTGCTTATTTTCTTCTTTACTCCGAAGCAGTTAATTGCTAGATTAGACATACAACTTGCAAAAGTCTAGAAAACTATCTGCTTCTTAGGCCTTAGTGATTGGACTATTGTGTTTTATCACAATAACTGCAGTTTATAACAGCTTATAATTTTTCTTTCTAACTAATTACAATGACACTTTAATGTTGAAAATCACGTTGGGTGATCTTAGGGGAGAATCACAACAGTATGTGATGGGATATTAGAGACAAAAGAGTGTAAAAGAATTTTTGTATGAAGGAAATAGGGGGATCTTTATGTATTACTGATTGCAGATATATATCCTTGATTTCTCCCTTTTTTTCCTACAGGGCCAAGGCTTTTCGTGGAAAAAAGGTCCATGGAGAATATGACATTAAGGTTGAACAGGTAATTAAATGACTCAACCATCCATGCATTTTTTTTTTGCATAGATATACAGCTAGATATACAAACATATGTATACACACATGTGTAAAGGCTGCTCCAAAAGTAATGCCTCCTATTTTATTATGTTGGCCCACAACATCAGAGGTGGATGTTTGGTGATATGCTAGTAAAGGCTGAAACTTCCCATCAATATTCCATTACATTTTGTTGCTATGTGGCAGATGGCAGAAGAGAGGCAGTCTAACAAAATAACGTATGACATGGAAGTGTGTGTGGAGAAAAAGGATTTGATAGAATTTCTCTGTGTGAAAAAAGTAGCCCCCACTGACATTCATCAATGCTTGCTGAAAGTTTATTGGAGAGCAATAAAGCAGATGTGAGCACAGTGAGACTGTGGGTGTTATGTTTCAGCAGTGGCAATAGCAACAGTGAGCTACCTCCTCTGGTGCAGCTTGTTGTGAGCGTGGTATGCAGGCTTTTGCTCATCACTGTCAAAAAAATGTAGAGCTAACGGTGATGACTATGTTGAAAAACATTGTTCTATAGCTTAGAATTGGCTTTATCAAACAGTGTTATCATGTTCTTTGTATTTATTGTATTTTCTGTGAAAATAATTAGGAGGCATTACTTCTGGAGCAACCTACAGGCTTATAGATGTGTACATGTAGTCCTTTGTACTTTAACAAAACTCTCAAGTCAGCTTACCTAAATTCACTTTAATACTACAGCATCTTGCTTGGCTCTGTTCTTTACACCACTAAATACCTGTCTCATGTTCTGGCTTGGAACAGTTTCATGGGGATCTTCAACAGTATTGGTGGAGAGGGGAAAAAGAAAATGCTATTTTGTCTCCAGATACTATTCTCACATGACAGACTGTGCAGCTGATATCATGTACATTCTTTACTATTAACAAAAGCTCTGGGTGACTAGAGTTTCCTTCGTATGGTCTCTCTTAGGACCAGATCTACCTTAAATCAGTATGAATATGAAGGTTTCTGAACCCTCTTAATCACTCTGTAATACATCAGCATCTTAAATTGTGTACAAATATCACTAACTTTAGTTAGTTTCTTATTACCAAAGAGCATTATTTTATTTTTGTACTACTTTACAGCATCCAACCTATAATCTACGATATTTTCTGTTGTATGCTAAGCTTTTAAAGTACAAAACCCTATACTGTGAATCTTCTTAATCATAGAATATTATTAACGAATGGAAGAGATTATTTGTCGATCTCAGATTTAAAAAAAAAAAAAAGATTTAATACAAATATGCCAGTCTCCCACCTTTTGCAATATTTTTTACAGTAATCTTAAATGTTCCCCCTTGCGTTTAGAACATCATTATAATGATTCAAGGAAGTATGTAAGTATATGGAATTTAATGAAGAGACATCCGTGCCTGAAGTCAAGAGCATACTTAAGCCACGGAGTTGGAATGGTGGCTAGAGTAGTCAATACCTGCCTTAACTGACCGCTAAATTCTTGTAGTCTTACCCAGATTTCACTTATAAACCTTCAACTATACAGTTTTTCAAGAACAGACTAATGAGAATTCTGACAGTCTCAATTCCTTATTAGTGTCTGGGATAGCACAGACACTTTTGTTTATCCTCCAGAAGACACTTGGCTGCATTTCAATAATTCTGCTGTGTAGTGTTATTGTAAAGTGCTTTGAGAGTCTAAGCTGATGAAAGACTGGGTAAATGAAAAACATCCTGTCCGTTTATTTCAAATAACTGTAGATTTAGAGTATGGATTTGGTTCCTTTCAAATGCCGCATTTTCAGTGTGAGAACATAGAGAAAATTATTCACTTGTGAGTTTTGCAATTCAGCTGTTTAGTAGCACCATATGTTTTTGAAAATAGAGTAAAAGCACAAAAAAGAAAGTAGTGAAGTATATGTAGAGAATGGGAGAAAAATTCAAACACACAATCTGTCATAAGAAATTCTTTGTCATATTTCTCTTCATACTGGTTTTATGCTATTTGCTTCAAAACATTAGGTACATTTTTGTTCTGCCTGTGTCAATCTCTAATGTACACCATACCAAGCAAATATATAATCTCTCAGTGTCCTAGTCCTTTATACAGCTTTTTTCTTTATATTATATTTTATCCAAGTGTGTTGTGCCATTACCCATACTGTAACCCACCCTGTTGGTTTAATATTCTTTCAGTGCTTGTTGTGTTCCAAATATATATCTTAGCAGTTCAGGTACATAAAGAAAGGGCTTTGGGGAAATAAAGGTAAAATAAATCAAATTGGCTAATGTGAATCCTCTTTTCATAGGCAGAATTCTCAGAAATCAACTTGATAGCCCATGCTGATGGCAATTATGCAGTAGATATCCAAGTATTTCGGAATGGCACTAAAGTTGTCAGGTAAGAAAAACAAGAAAACAACAGAAAGCAATAGGTGGCATAATTTATGTGTATAAGATGTGCTAATTTTATGTGTGGTGGAGATATTGACAAATACAGCACACCTCGATCACTAAGCATGACAAGAATCTGAACTGAGTAGGTCCTGAGACAGGAAGTAAATCTCTCAACATTTAAATCACATGGAAAATGGAGCAGGTCCTCTTTGAGCTCTCTGAAACTGGCTTTTACCTGACTTCAGCTGCTGAGGTTTTTCTCACAGATGCCACCCATGCAGCTCCTCACTACCAAAATTTTGCCATGTAAGCTCAATATAAAAGGAATTAAGTCTGGTATAAATACATGTATGGGAATCAGAGTTATAATTCGAGTCTTATATTTCTGATTTATGCAGTCTTGGTGGTTTAGTATGTGTCAGACTGTTATAGATGAGAAATAATTGTTTATAGCATTGAGCGTTTTCATTGAATCATAGAATAGCTCAGGTGAGAAGTGATCTTAAAGATCATCTAGCTCTGTTGTGCTGTTGGGCAGGGTTGCCAAGCACTAGACCAGGCTGCCCAGGGCAAGATGGGACTTCACAGGGCTGAGCAGGCTATTACCTCTCTCACCCTTCTGGCCGCAACTCCTTATCAGGGCTGCTCTCAACGAATTCTTTCTCCAGGCAACAAATATCTGGGATTGCCCCAACCAAAGTGCAACACCTTGCCCTTGGCCCTGTTGAACCTCTTTAGGTTTACATAGGTCCACTTTTCAAGTTTGTCCCAGGCCAGTCTGGATGGTATCCCTTCCTTCCACTCTATTAACTGCACCACTCAGCTTGGTGTCATCAGCAAACTTGCTAAGAGTACGCTCAATCCCACTGTCTGTTATTGATTAAAAAAAAAAAGAAGTTGAAGAGCACCGGTCCCAAGACAAACTCTTCAAAGACACCACTCATGAACAGCCTCCATGAACACCTGGGCACAGATTCATTTCCCACAACGTTCTGGCTGCTGGCAGAGGCATTTGTCTGCCTTGTTTATCAGTTCCTGAGCAACAACAGACATAAAAGTATCTCGAGAACATATTCACAGTTTATGTAAGTGATTTATTTATCTTCCAGTGACGAAAAAAAAAAAAAGCACCTGAAAAGCCACGATAACTTGTCTCTCTTCTTAATAGAGCTGCAATATTTTCTAGATGCTGATATTCTCAAAAATAATTTGATCATTGATTAATCCCAATATATCTCTTTCTTGCTAGGTCATTCAAACCTGATTTTGTCCTCGTTCGGCAACATTCATTCAGTATGGCAGAAAATGAAGATTTCCGAAACTTGATCATTGGCCTGCAGTATGCAGGCATCCCCAGTGTCAACTCCTTGGAATCAATCTATAACTTCTGTGACAAACCATGGGTGGTAAGTGATGTACTGAAAAGTTCTCTTGGTGCAAACTTTGGAACTTATTTCTGTTTGCTTATTTAGTTCTTGCTCACAAATGCTGAGTGACCAACCGTAAAGTCACAGAGCAGTGAAACATTTGTGAGAGGAATAAAAATCAAAGTAGGGTATTTAAACCTTTTTTTTCTTTTCCAAAAAGACAGTGTAGGCAGTGTGGAGATGGAGAAAAATATTTGTGGTATAAATACTGAAATAAGTGAGGAAACTAATGGAAAGCCTATCCACTACTAACATCCTCAAGTGAGGAGAGTATTTATTCACAATTTGTGTGGGAAAAGCGAGCTGAGAATATTTTTCATATTTGTGGTTTTGAACATAATTTAAAGACTTTTAGCCAGTGTTTTCCTCATGCCTGCAAAATTTTTGGGGCTATGCTTCAGTGAGGAAACCTGAAGCTATTAGTTTCATCATTTGAAAGCTCTTTTCATAATCTTGGGCGCACTGGGTAGGAGTTGACCTTTTTACAGTTACACCTGGAGTAATGAGGCACATTGGAGACTCACTGAAACACTTTTAGTGTAGAAGCTAATTCTGCTTCTCATTGCACACTTTGTTGTGATAGAGGTAGACTTGGATGATATTTTTGTTCATAATTAGCATGAACAAGTTAAAATACGATGCTGTAAAAGATGATTATGGATGGTACTATCATTTCCTTTCATAGATATGTTCAGTTGCCAAGACCTAATGAAGCTTTAAAGGTTAGTACTTGTTATAAGTAGCCAGCAAGACCTGCTTTTTTCCTCTTGATGCTTAAGAAAGAAAATAACTTAGTACAGGTATTTTTCACACTAAAGGAAAGCTTTATTGTAATACCTCGTGGCCTCAAAAATATTTATTTTACATTTACTTTGAAGACCACTACAGAATACTGTCAGAATGTTGAAACATATCTTGCAGTTAATTTTATCATACTTCTGTGTTGCAATAAACTACAGCAGAGAATAAAGAATTGATAGTCTTTACAGCTTTCCAGAATACATATTGTACATTCCTGAATGAGGCATGTTTAAATGCAATAATGTTTAAATGTTTAAATGCAGTAAAAAGAAACCAATATTCTTATGGTGGCATTAGTGTCACGGCTCTTCCTACACCAAAGCAAGATGTTTCTTCTATCTGATATCATTTCACAGATGTGAAATGAGCTGATTATCCTTTCTGATAATAGCTGAGGGTAACTGAATGTTGTAGAAATACTTGCTGTAATAACTGCCATATCTGCTTATGTTTGATTTATTTATTTTCATATATTCTCTTTTGGGTTTAACTTTCAGTACTATTTCCAAGCCCAGATATGAATGCCACTAATTTTTTTTTTCTTTCAGTTAAGCTTACTTTATTTGAATATAGAGAATGATGTTAGTTTCACTGACAATTTTCTACTTGCTATTTCTATCTCTGACAGCCAGAATACATTTTATTTGAACTGCCTAAATTTTACACAATCTCAGTACATTTCACATCTCTGGGATATTCCCTCTCAAAATACCTATCCTGAAGAAAAATATCTATCCTAAACTATCGGGTCACTTGTTTCAAGCCAACATCTTTCACTTTAAAATTTTCTGCCGTGTTTCCTTGAATTGAAGTTGTTTTCGTTACTATGTGTGACAGAAGGATTGCCTTAGTTCTGCTTTACTACCTGTGGCCATCAGCTGAGACTGCAGATGTGCAAGTGGTTCCTCTTATAAGTTTATAGCTGGACCATACCTTAATTTGTCCTACTTTAAAAGAATGCAGAATTTTAACCTGAGGAAAAAATAGTTTATCAAAATATGAGGAGTCTTGTTTGTGCTTTTAACTTGAAATGTTGTGATTTCTGTTCTCTGTTGTAACGGGAGATGCAGAGACAACCACGTTCATCCATGTTTCTTTGTGAAATCTTTGTCAAGTGTAGGGATGGTGGCCACTACAAGATGTCATGTAAGCCTGTTACAAGTCATGTGTGGATTTAATATTCAAAGGGTAAAAATCCATCGGTCCTTTGATGCAGCCAATCTCATAAATATTCAAGTAATGCAGCAGAATGCAAGACCTGTTTATTTTACTGTTATCTTCTAGCTTGTTAGATTAACCCAAACTCAAACATGCTGCTTTGCCTACGTAAAATCCTGACAGCAAACTATATTCTAAAGAAAAATAACTAAGAAGAAAAATAGGTTTCACTTCATACATACTTTTTTTAATAATGTGAATCTTAGCATCAGGAAAGAGCATATTTAGCAACCACGAGTGTCCGTGTCAACTTTGCAGAAGTGCAAGTAAGCAAAAATGTGCATAGACTGATGGCAGATTAGACTCATTTCTTCACAGCCATCATGGTTGCCTTTCTCAACAGTTCTCGCTAGCATGGAAGATCTGATGTTTTTTATGAATACTTCTATAAAAATTGCAGATTCAAAAGCATGAAAATTACAAAGTAAAAGTATAGATAAATTCAAACTATCATCCTTATTAATAGATAAGAAATCTCTTCTATAATGGAAAATTTGATTTGTAGAAGTGAATTAAAATTCTGTAACAGCAGAAAAACACAAAGTTACACAAAGATTCGCTGCGTTGGATCCTAGAGGTTGAAAAATTACTGAATTAGCTGTGGACACCAATCATTTGTATTTACGTAAGTGTAAAATCAGGAGAGCTCTATAGAATTTGTAGAAGGGGAATTCAGAGAAGTTGGGCTAATTATAAGAGGGCCATGGAATAGAACAAGAGCTAGAATCCTAAATACAAGATCTTTTGTTTCCTAAGTTACTCCACAGTAACAGGTCTTCGCTTTTATTAGAACAGAGAACACAGCATTTTTTCAACTCTGAAGGCAGACTGACATTAGAAACTACTGCACATTTCTGTAATCTTCTGATAGGATACTTTACACTGCATCTGCAGATGCAGGTTTCAGTGTCACTGCCAATAGGCAGTCAGCAAGTTTGTATTTAAACTTTTATATTTGTATGTTATTGAAAGATGGGAGTGTGGTGGGAAAGTTGTCAGAACACAGTCAAAACATTTCTAAAATCAAGTCTTAAATCCTGTTTTCTAGTGTTGGGACATACATAGTTCCTTCAAATGCAAGTCAAAAGTTCAAAGCACCGTATTGCCCTTTGAAAATTTAAGATGCTAGCAACTGTGGCAAAGAAAATATTGAATTGAATGTGTGTGCAGTGAGGTGTTTGCATACTGAAATATGTTAATGACTTGGGTTATTACAGAACTTCTCTTATTTCACTTCTGTGATAATACTTACCACCTACCTCATGAAAAATGCATGATCCTCGCTTTAGAGATGGCTTCTACTTCAATGCTAGTAAGAACATCAGAACTCAAGTTGAAAGCATGAGTTGTACAAATAGAGACTGTTTGTTGTTACTAAGTGCATCCCGAGCTATGGAAGAACTGTTTTAAGGTTAACTTCTCACAATAATTGGAATATTTCCTTGCACTGTCATGTTGCAAAGTCATAGGTTCTATTGAGATAAATTGGCCTAGTTAATTTATAGTTACCTTGGGTTCAGTTGATACAGAAGCATATATTTTTCTTTGCTGGTTTTATAATCTATTTTATGACAGTACTCAAATCAAGCTGTGTTCAGCACCTGTTATCTCACTGACGAAACACCAAGATTTATAGACTAGTTATTTTATTGTCTATTTTACTTCAGAAAAATTCATTCCAGAAATAAGCGAGACCTTACTTCACTGAGGCTTCTGAGACTGTAATCTTTCTGGTAGTATGTCAGTATGTGGTAGATGTCAGTAAGCAAAATATGTAACCTCAGAGGACAGAAATAATTTAAAAAAGTGAAAATAATGTCAATGCCTGAAGTGATCTCGTGCTTATGATTAGGGCTATACTTGAAAAAAGAATAAAATCCATTGTATTGTGTTGCTATTTTAAAGAAAATATATAATACTGTTCTGCCAGTGTATTTCTGCATTCTTCCTATTATGATCAATGTGAAATTTGATTGTTTAAATGTTTGCATCAAGTGAACTCTGCTCTTGATTTTTACATTTAATTGTGAATATTGATGTTAGAAGCACAGTCTTGGAGTACTACAGACCACTAACAGTGATCCATACTAACTGTTCATCTATACTGTGTATAGCAAATATCCAGTCAGTGGAATTATAAAGTGAGATAGAATTAACAGGTGAGGTTACTTAACATACAAACTCTGGCTTCCTTGCTGGGAGCTGTAAAGTTCAATGTCCATAGCTGCTATAAATAGAATATTTTATTTTGATTAAACCTTGGCTGTGACATAGCAGTTTCTTTCATTACAGAAACTGAATTGCTATTTCTTAGCTTCAGATACTGATAATGTTTTAACATAGCACAGATGACAATTCCTGCAGTTGTATGTAAGAAATATATATTTTTGAAGAGGAAGAAAATCCTTGCTTAATCAACCAGATTCCATGATGGCTGTTTTTCCTCTGTTACTGAAGAGGAAAAACATAGCAGCTCTGTGGCTGTCTGTAAATCTGTCTTCTCGTTAGCGTGACTTTGGGAGGCTGGTTCGTTTAGAAGGATTCAAGGGTCTACTTAGACATTAACTACACAGTCATTCTGGTGAAGGAGATGGCAGAACCTACAGAAAACATGTGAGCATTACGACTTAGCTGCTGCCAAGCTGGTGGGAGCACTTGAAGCACTGACTTGTTGTAATCACAGAAGGGATGTAGGAGCCCACTGTAGCGTGTCAAGCTGCTGCATAGACATAACAACCTGTGAAGGGTGTCTGTTGCTGCACGGATGGGAAGGCTGGATACTGAGCAGGCTCAGCCTCTAGTGAAGAAAACTGTTGGCGTGGTGACAAAGTGCTACATTATTCTCCTGTTCAGCAGTGTGGGAAATAGAGGCAGAAAAATAGGAATTCTTTCCTGGTCAACAGCTGGAAGAGTGGAATTAAGATCCAGAAAACATTCTTATCTATATTTTAAAGACACCT